AATCACCCAAGTCAGAGGAGGAACAAGATTACATGAGTAAGGTTCCTTACGCTTCAGCTATTGGTTCACTTAAGTATGTTATGGTCTGTACCAGACCGAATATTGCCCACACATTGGGAGTTGTGAGCAGATACATGAGTAATCCAGGGAAGAAACATTGGGAAGCTGTGAAGTGGATTTTGAGATACCTAAAAGGCTCTTCAGAAACCTGTTTGTGTTTCTCAGGAAAGAGTTTAGAGGTACAGGGTTATGTTGATGCAGATTTAGCTGGAGACATTGACAGTATGAAGAGTACTGCAGGTTATGTTTATACTCTTGGCGGTACTGTAGTGTCATGGGGCTCTAATCTCCAGAAGACAGTTTCTTTGTCCACTACAGAGGCTGAGTATGTTGCAGTGTCAGAGGCTCCTAAGGAGATGATATGGCTGCAGAGTTTCTTGGTGGAATTGGGTAAGGAGGTTCAGAAAGGCACTTTCTACAGTGATAACCAGAGCGCCATATTCCTAGCTATAAATCCAACATTTCAATCCAGGACCAAGCACATTCAGATCAAGTATCACTTTATTCGATTATTGTTGGATGACAGACAATTACTACTTGAGAAAATTTGTGGAAGCAAGAATCCTGCTGATATCTTGACCATGGGCGTTACACTTGAGAAACAGAAGTTGTGCTCGACTTCAGTTGGTCTTCTAGCTTGAAGACATGGGCTTTGAGTTGCAGAGGTGGATGATATCACGTTTGAGAAAAAAAAAGGAGCGGTGCAGTCAGTGTCCCAGTCTCCAAGTGGGAGAATTGTTAACGAAGGTGTGGAGTCCGGTCCACTGTAGCTTAGGCAAATTACATAATTTGTTAAACATGATTTTTCCTTTGCTTCTTTATCTGCTTTGCCTGTTTTGGAATCCTACCTGCACTCTTCAAAAGCAAAATCCCACTCAGCCTTCCCGCCTCCCTGCTCACGCGGTCCCACCATCTCCCTCACGCGGCCCCGCCAAAGCAATCTCCCTCACGTGGTTTTCTCATTGGGAATTACCTTTTTTAAGCTATTTTGTGCCTCTTATAAATAGCAAGGATAAAGGCCTGCAAAATAGTCTCCACCAAATTCAATCTCTCGGTTGTAGCTTGCAAGAAAAGGGGCTGCTGTAGCTTTCTTTGGGATTGCTAACAGGGAAGAAATTCCTTTAATTTCTGTCACGTGGCTTGAAAGAGAGAGAGAGAGGAGAAGAGAGAGGAGAAAGAGAGAGAGAGGAGAAGAGAGAAAGAAAGAAAAATAGAGAGTTATTTTTGTAAACGTCGAAGCGCTCGACAGTGTAATTTCCTCAGATAATAAAATCCTCTGCAGCTCCGTGGACGTAGGCAATTTGCCAAACCACGTAAATCTTGTGCTGTTTTTTTCTGGTGTAATTTTTTAGATTTATTTTTCGCTTTATCGTCGTCAATTTTTACAACAGATTCCACTAGCATTGAATGGGAAGAAAGAAAAACGGCTTGGAATTATAACTTGTGCACTTCTCACCATACATCTCTCATAATCCAATTTGCCCCTAACTATAATAAAAACCATAATAACCATAATTCACCATCATCCACTGGTAAATGTGATATTCTTTGGGTAATATGGGGGACTCAAGTAGAGTTCACTATTACAATGCTAAAATCATTTACATCAAATCTAATTAGCCCTTACCCAAGTCGGTGAAATCGTGAACATGGACTAAATGATCTGAATTCATGAAATGAATAACTTATCATCATCATGTTGAAGTCACCAACCCTCTCTCTGTTCAAATATCCCCCATTTTCATAATCATTCTAATTAGTAAAGTTTGAGTATCAACCAGTAATAAAATCAAATTAAGAGTTTATTTTTTCTGCTATCAGAGTTTTCTAAATGAAAAAATCATTTGATGATGTTTAGTGTAATTTAGAGCAAAATTAGCGTTTGAATCAAGCATCAATAATCAACTTATCAATTCTTTCTCTTGTGGAAATTTGACAGAGCCAACAATCATGTCTTGGATTATTGCGTGCGGCCGCCGCATGCATCTCTGCATGCGGTGTCCGATCCTGGCCGTAGATCACGGTGATCTACGGCCAGGATTATTTATGTTTTATATATATAAAAAAAAAATTTAGGTGGGGCCCACCGAAATACATCGGGACCATAGATCAGGTGATCTACGGTCCGGATCGGGCACCGCACGCGATCCGTATGGAATAATTTTTCCTTGGATTGAAGGCTGATATTTTAAAAATTATGGAATATGACTTAAATCAAACCCCTACGATACAGGAAGCATTCAACGAGTTTAAATATCAACGAGTTTAAATAATAAAATTAATCATCTTATTGATACCAAATTTAAGCCGCTGAAGATAATTTATAAAATTTATTTCAAAAGAACCAAAAAAGGAAGCCTTCGGCGTACATATCATGCTTACAAAACCTAATAAATTATATTTGTATAATAACCTTCCCATTTGCTATCTTCAACAACGAGGAAGGTTGGCCGGCGGCGGAGGTAGACTCGTCGAAGGCGTTGGACCGTCGTCGACCTCAAAAGCCATGGCCAGTCCCCAAGACATGTGAATGTCCAAGTGACAATGCATGAGCCAAATGCCTGCTTAATCGAAAATCAATCATTAATTATGCAACATAAATGAAATTAATGCTAATGAAATTTAGAATGCCTACCTGGATTATTTGCTACAAATCTAATGACCGCCCATCCGCCGGCGGGAACCGCAACTGTGTTTCTTACCTGCAGAGTGCAGGGCAGTGCCGAAATGAATGAGTTTTTTTTCCGACATACCATAAAATTTGATGTATTTACATGTCAAAATAAATGTAGCAGCAACTATTCCGCTTAAAATGAAGAGACTAAAGAGGGAGCGAGAGGGGAATAGGAATATAGAACAGAGATGGGAGGGAGCTGACCTGGGGATTGAGGAGATTGAAGGTCGGCGGGAGTGGCGGCGCGGATTCATTGAAATTCCCAAGCCCCTGCGCGAGGACGAAGAAATTAAAACCATGAAGATGAATAGGATGGCTCTCCGTCCCCAACACCGCCGTGTTCTGCAATATGACCTCCACCGTCGCATTGTACCTTACCCTCTTCACCTTCGTCCCTTTCTCCACCACCAACACCGATGGATCCAAACTCGCCTTTACGTTCGTAAAATCAAATTTCACCGCCGGCCGCTCCGGAAAGTCCTGCGTGTACACGCCGCCGCCGCCTCCTCCAAACCTCGCCTCTAAAAGCGACATTTCTTGCGGAAACTGAAACGAAATGTTGTTCATGCTGGCAGCCAAGCACATGGGCCGATCCGGGCCGCAAGGGATCAGCCCTAGCCCGAAAGTAACAAACATTCTCTCATCCACTACAATAGGAACAGCGGGCCGGTCTGGCCCTGTTAATCCTGTGAGATTGGTGTAGAACAGATAGGCGGTGGAGATGTCGTTCAAAGCCGGAAGGGATGGCATCACTGGTGGCGGCCGATCAGAAGTGGTGTTTGAGTAGCGGAGGAGAGCTGTGGTGGTGGAGTTGTTGAATGCGAAGGAGGCGGAGGATGGAGGAATGCTGATGAATGGGCGGGCGGCGAGGTAATAGTCACCGGCGGGAACGGCGTCGGCCAGCAGAAGGGCATCGACAGTTTGGCCGGGAGCGAGGAGGATGACTTGTGTGGTTTGTGGGGTAGTGTAGGACGCATCCACGGCTACGACGGTGAAAGAATGGCCGGCTGCTTTGAGGAAGAACTGGTGGCTGAGGGCGGCGTTGATCAGTCGGAAGAGGTATAATTTTCCCTGCTCTAACTCCACCTTATGCGTGTCTGTTAATCAAAAAAAAGAAAAAAAAGTTTCTTTATTAATTCTTTACTTAAAGCTAGCATTTTTTTGAAAAATTATTCATTTTTTACTTGAAGCTGATGATAATAATGATAATAAAAAAGGCATACGCTGCTGGGAACAAGGATATAGATCGCCGGGCCTTCCGTTGATGGTGAAAGCATCGGAAATATTTGGAATGCCGCCGGCGGCGAGGGCCTCATTTTCGACATCCACAACACTCGCATCCCACCACTCTCCTGTAATCTTATATTAACGGAACTTAATTAATGAACTCATTAAAAACAGAGGAGATTTAAAATTTAATACTGACCGAGAATGATGGGCACTTCCTTGTAGGGCTGGGGAAAAGGGTAGGCTTTTGTACCATGGCGGGGCTTAATGATGAGTGCGCCATAAACAGTGGCTCGAAGGAAGGAGACGTGCGCGTGCCACCAGAGCGTGCCTTCTTGCCCGCTAATGGTGAACCTATAAGTATAGTTGTTTCCGGGTAATATGGGGCATTGGGTTACGTAGCTCGGCCCATCAGCCCACCCACTCATCACCTGAAATATCCCGTGCCTGAAGGCAACCACCAATTCCATTTCTCAATGCTTCAGTTCATTTGAATTTACTTCAATCATTATTCTCTTTAAATATTTGGAAGATTTATCTAAGTTTATGCTTAATTTTTCTTCTTATATCTATGCATAAAAAGCTGTATTTTACCTTTTGTTTCAGTTAAAATAATGGTTTTTTTTTTTTATATGATATGAAGGATTTAGGGGGTGGGCATGAATGTAAGCAGTATTTTCCTTAAATGATAGAAGCTATAAGAAGTACCAATGGACTGTGATGTTGTAAGGGGACTGGTTGACCAAGTGAACGACAATGGTGTCGCCGTCATGAGCACGTATCGTTGGGCCTGGAAACTTTCCGCTAACTGCCGTTATAACTCTCGTCTTACACAGTCGTTCCACCGTTAAGTTCCCTACCTGCAATTTATTTTTTAATAAGCCTTTTATCAATTAAAAATTACTCTCTTCATTGTATATACAACTCATGCAAGCTGGTTCTTCCCTGTAACCAAATTATACAACTGTTTTGTCACCCAATTATTTGAATAAACTATACTTAAATTGTCTACTGTCGCATTAAACTTTACCGGATAGCCTTATTTAAAAAGTATAAAAATATTGAATTTTTACCTCACCAAATTTTTTAAATTCAAAGTTTTCTAAATCAACTTCTTTCACTAAGCTCTATAAGAATATTTTCTTCCTATCATTTTCATATATCAAGCATATATTTTGTATGATATGTGGCATAATGTAGTAATAATATATGTTAATATTTCAAGTATGAAACGTTAGTTGATAAGTCGATTAATCCATCGGTAACTTGTTACAGAGGTTCCTGAAACTCTTAGGCACTAAGCTAATTGGAATATGTAAACTATAATTTTTGATAGAATAGGGAATTTATAATAGCGTAATTCAGCTGGCATATAGCTATTAGCTAATTGTATTTTATAAGTCAATCTCAAATGTTCCAATGCATCACTAACGCGCATGAGATTTCACAGGTAAATTGTAATTTGCTTAGGATGTATGCATGGTGTGGACGATATTTATAGCTAAACCACGTACAAATAATATTATTGCATAAATTATTATCAAAACATTTATGTAAAGTTAATCTGTATCTAATTTATGAGTTTTTATTTCAATTATAAACTGTTTTACACACGTACTATGGGATATTTTAATCTCACATTAGGTTTGATGGTAAAAAAAATCATTAGATTAATTAACTCGTTTTTTCAGCAGCAACTATTAAATTTGAATTTGGCAATAAAATGATATGATTTTGAAATATTGGTATTTTATGCATGCAATCATGCATGTACGTATGTAATAACACTACAACCTTAGCTATTAGCTAGTATTTTGTTCTTTTCATAAATGAAACCCAAAGATACAGAGAGCTCAAGTTGTAATGACAAATCATAATAAATGAGAAATAAGTAAGGAAAAGGTTAATAAAAGAATCAAAGATCAGATTTTGTATGAAAGAGTGAAATATATTGAAACACTGAAATTACGTTGAAAGTGTGCTCCACCACAGCAGCTTGGGCTGCTGCGCTGCAAATAATTGCCATGGAAAGAGTGGCAAGAACAGAGCGTTCCATCTCTGACTCTCCTCGCTTGACCGAGAAGAAAAAAGACACCACAATTAACGATCCATAGCTTATAAATAGGACTCATATGCTTCTTATTTATCATGCATATATTATTGTACTCATAATTATAAACTAACTACAAAAACTATTATTAGTTAATTAAAAGGTTCGTCATCATCAAGCGCATGTTTCTAACAAATCATTAATCTGCAACGTATGCAGTTTTTATTCAATGCTTATATTCTACCTTCTCCACATGCTAGTCCATCGTTTTAGTGACAGCAATACATTCTGAAGCTAAGTGTGTGTGTACATATATGCATATATGAATTCAATATTTAATTTCTTCTTGTCCAATTAATTAATTTAAGGGGAGACCGACTGCAGATATCATGATTCGATTTTCTTAACATTCATATGAATTCCAATAATGTTCAGTAAATTAGTTATGGTTAAAGAAATGTTCATGAACATGAAACCACACAATTCCAATTCGAAGCTCCTACATATGGGCACTCTTAATCCCCTCTCTCTCTCTCTCACACACACAGAGTACTTAGTTTGTGTATGTGCATCTGCATATTTACTCTCATGTAGTGACTCGTCTTCGCCGTGTACTTATTGCGCTTCTATGGCTTGCGCTCAAATTCTGTGCTACTCTACATATCCTCTTGGCTATTTCAATGGTGATCATGGGTCATGCCATTGAATTTTTATATCTTATCTGTATTTGTTGTACGTGAGGCTTCTTGTGGGTTCCGAAAATTCACAACCGCTCCTCGATAACTCTTTTCATTTTATTTTTTATTTTTTATTTTGAGAGAGATAGAGCTTTGGAGGGTTTATATTTCAAAAGACCGATTTGATTATAGATAGGACACTGCTAGAGATTTCAATCTTATTTAATGAGGATTTTTTGATATGGGGTTTGAGGTATCCCATAGACACAAGTCGCTATGATTAATTACCTCTCCCAATAATGAGAAAATAATTTCGATTATAGCTGGTCATTATAAATTTAAAATTGAACATATAATAACAAGAAACACAGGATTTAAGTTATAGAACTCATCACATGAAACTTAAAGCGGATGATAAGGTAATGAAGACGAATCCAGATCATGATCTCATGGTTTCGTCATCCCAGGTCATCATGATCCTTGATCTACTTAGTCAGAGGAGATAGTCGACCCAACATTATAGAAAGATTCTTGTCAGCAGTCATGGGCTACGTTGTACAAGAAATCCTTGTAGACCTAGGGGGATGTTTGTCTAAGGGGACAAATTTAAGTCGACCATAGCTAACATAAGACTTAATATGAATAAATTGTACCATCATGATTCACAATTCAAATGATAAAAAATCATTGAGGAACATATGAGCTGCAATCGTGATTGTAATATAATAGCGTCATTTGACAGCAACCACCTGGTAAGAGGGCTCTAGTCATAACCACTTTTTTGTGGTGCAATTTGGTAGCAAAACCACGTAGACAAAAGACTCAAGCCACGTCCTTACTAGCATGCAATTGCTTTGATTGTGAATATAGATGTGCATTTAATATGACATTCACTCTCTGTGGGTTGAAGTTAATCATAAGTTTGTCACTCTCGACAAATTGTTGCGGAGGGTGAATAAGATTTGTTTTAAGTCTCTTAAGTGATTGAATTCTAGTTTGAACGTTTGGTTGGTTATATTGAAAATCTGGATTTAAAATGTTGAGCTTTCTGGTTGAAGTTTTCAATCAATCGACCATCAACGGGGTATTGAACATTTTAAAGCCTTTATATTTGAAATGAGAGGCATTTAATTTTTTTTTAGTTTAAGCTCTTCAAATTATAAATTATGGCGACTCCTATCTTTATAGGTAAGAAGATCAGACTAAATGATTTGGACTTCTAAATTCTTACTTCAAGATTTGGATATTTATTAGGGCTTATGAGACTTGTCTATGATTCTATCCTATATACAAGGCGGCCTGATTAGCCCGCACAACATTCTCGAATCTAATATTTGAACATTTTATATGTTGCTTGGAGCACATGCAAACATTTAGATTTAAGTACTTGAGCTATTTTAGCAGGAGTATTTGATGTCTTAAGATAGTTTACATGATTTATAGTATATATTAAATCAAATAGCTTCAAAGAATGCATATTGAGAGGCTTGCATAAGTATTGAGGTATTTATTTTCAAATCAAATGTTGTCTTATAACTTGAAAAAGTCATCAAATCACGTATGCATCTTGAAAGTCTATGTGAACATTATGGCTTCGCATTGCACCCAAGTTTTCATTTTAAGAATTTTGTCTTTTTCTGTTCGCTAGAAAGTATGTTGTGAACACGTGACGGAGGTCTATTTTAAAATTGTCTCAAAGGTTTTTTAAACCCAACTATTTTGATTATTGAACCCGATCGTCTGTAAGTGGGACAAAGTCGATAAGGTTAAAAAATTAGTTGTCCCTCTTCAAATATAAATATTTTAAATACCTAGAACCTTGATATTTTAAAACCCCAAAACCTAAAATTTTAAAAAACTCGGAGTTTTCTCAATCATTTTAAAATTTAAATTACTGTTGTTATATCTATATATTATACCATTTTTTTCAAAATTATTATAAATTTATGATAAATTAAATAAATGCATTAATCCCAATCGTTTAAATTGAATCCGATGGCTGAAATTTTAGAAGATTCTTCCCCAGTTATCATTGCAATTGAAGAGAATATGAATTCATCAGTGACCACATATAATTTTTTATACTATAGTTGTTCTGAATGATGAATAACAGTCTGTTATTTGACTTCTTAATAACTCTGTCAAATGAAGGAAATAAATAAATAAATAAATAAGTAGATGTTAAAAGTAACATAATTGGCCGTCTCTGTCATTGCGTATGAGTCCGGTGAGAGTGGTTTAAACGACACATTATTATTGTTATTATTATTATTAAAAGCTTTTTAGGTACACATAAAGAGTTTTAAAGGTTTTCATCATTCAGAACCTTGCGCTTGTTTGCCTTAACTGCTCCTTCACTTATTTATTTCTTCTTTAACATGTCAAATAGTGCTTCATATGTCATCCCATAACTTTTTATATTAATCACAAATCCTAAGAAAGTTTAACATCATAAATTAAATTTAATGTCATCTCTACTTCATCTTCAATCACACCTTTCTAGAAAGGTGGTCCGCCCCTCGGTCAGACTATGGGGTTGATCGACGATCAACCATTTTTAATATATATATATATATATATATTTATATATATATCTTAAGAAAACAAAACTCACATACACTACTAAGAGTGATCTTATCTTAATTCCAAAAAGCTCAAATCAAGCATTTAAAATACGATTAAAAATATTTAGAGTGCTAAGAAATTCTCAATGGCAGAGGAATATTAAGCCTTAGCTTCCAGTACATGCTAATAGAAGTATAATGTACAATAAGATTTTCTTGCATGGGAGAACCCTCGAAAGAGAAAAAGTCATTAGGCATGACCCAATTAAAGTAATCCAACCACTAGAAATTTGAAAATACAAAGGTCTACTTTTCTGCTGAATTAAAAATACGGGATTAAAAAAACTTTAAACTCTCAGTTTTATAATAGTATTTTGGCTATTACAACCATGTTGGAGCTATAATAATTGTAGTTGGTGGCTACAACATCCATAGTTAGCTATAAAAGTGATAGTTCGTGGCCACAAAACTGTATTTAGGCTACAACACTTGTAGTTGGTGGTTACAACAACTATAGTTGGCTATTGGCCTTTTACTTGTGGCTCTATTGATAACCAGTTATGTTTTAGTTGTCTGCTCACTCTTGTGATCTTCTCATCCCCTCTTTCCTATGAAGAATGAGTGCCTATTTATATTTTCTAAAATGGGCATTTTAGTAAATTTGTCCAAACTCCCAAAATACTCAATCAAATGGTTCACGTTGATTGTTTTAGTCACACGGGTTTTTTCAACAATTTAGTGTCTTAATGAACTCAAAATCTGCTAGATTTCACTTGTTTAATGACCTAATTTATCTATAAGCATGCCAAATTTAGAGATTATTTAGTTTTCTAATTAATGCTCCAAAACTTTTTATTACACTTCAAATATTTGATCTATAATTTTTTGGATTCGGATTGAATCACTTGCAGTGTCACTTGCTTATATTGTTGAGATGCTAAACTTAACTATGATTCTGTCGAGTAAGAGCTAAGGAATCCTAAATTTGCATTTGGAAGTTTTTTATTTAAATTGTATTGAGATTTGTGCATGGCCATATAAATTCCTTGGTGACGTGTCAATGTCAATAAATGCGATATAAAAAATCTTTAATATTTACAAGCAAAACTAGAGTCTCAATAAAAGAAATTTAATAAGACCTAAATAACTAAATTTTTATGTTATTAAAATATTAAAAGAATGATATTGTCACTAAATAAATTATTATGAGTCATTTAATGGAGCATTTTGAGATATTGATTAGATTTATCAAAATACCACTTCAAAATTAAAATTATTGGTTGAGCCCTATTGTTTACTTGAAGAATAGAAGTTAGAGCTTGGGGAGAGTTTAAAGATAATAATAATAAAAAAAAAAAAAAAGAATAGTTTTGTTTGACATATAAATTAAAATACACGATCAATCTTAGCCACCTTCCTTGCTTAACCATCCCCAAATATCATTGCCATTCAATGGTCACCATATATATGTCATTTACTATAATCTGACTTCTATCATTTTATTAGGTGTAAATTTCAGAATTTGTATAAATTTTATTTTATTGGCATTAAAATGTCAGATAATTAAATGGCAAACGCAAAAGACAATCAAAATTGAGAAATAACATTAATCATTTGATGGATACAATTATATATAAGGTTGTGGCACGCACTAATCCGTATAAGGTTAAAGCCTGGCTCGATTATGCACATGGATCCACAGCAAGGAGGATTTGAGGCCCACTATATAGTTTCACGCATGTCAGCCCACTCGTGCGCACTCAAC